GGGACTTTGTCTTGCCACCTGATGTCGAGGAGTTTCCTGAGGCAGGTAGTGTGAAAATGATTCAGTTTCTTGGCGTGACGCTGGTAGACAGTCCACGTTTCACATCCATAAAGCAGTGTCGGGAGGACTGCTGCGCTATAGACCTTGAGTTTTGTTTCTCGACTGATACCTCTCCTGTCCCAAACAGTGCTGCGGAGCCTGCTAAATAGGGCACTAGTTTTTGCGAGTCTGCCATTCATTTCATCATCCATGACGACAGATCTAGAGAGGGTGCTGCCCAAGTAAGTAAATTTATCCACCGGGTTGAGACGCTGTCCACTGATGATGATGTTGGGTTCAACGTAGGGCTTACTGGGAGCTGGCTGATACATCACCTCAGTCTTCCTTGTGTTGATAGTGAGGCCAAAGTTATTGCATGCCTCTGAGAAGATATCAACGCTGTGTTGCATGACGGCTTCTGATGGAGCATTAAGGGCACAATCGTCTGCAAACAGAAGCTCGTTGATCGTGGTATGTTTGACCTTGGTTTTAGCTTGAAGCCTCCTAAGGTTAAATACTGATCCATCAGTACGAAACCGGATTGGCAAGCCCATGGCAGAGTCCTTGAACGCATCAGACAACATTGCGGAATACATAATACTGAAGAGTGTCATAATAGACCATCCCAGTCAACCCAATGTCATAATAGACCGTCCCAGTCAACCCAATGTCATAAAAGACCATCCCAGTCAACCCAATGTCATAATAGACTACGTCAGCCAACCCAATGTCATAATATACCATCTCAGGCAACACAATATAACAAATCACCTCTGACAATTCAATGTCGTCTATAAGTTTGCAATAAATCTTTGCTTGTTTGACGTTTGCAGTACTGACATTCACAGCAATCAATGTTTATTTTAGCAGAGTAAATAAACGTTAAGAAAGAATGTCTTATTTCTGCGCCCAGTGAATGTGTAAATAAGTCGATGGCTTCCCCTTAATGTGTATGTCTTATGTGTGTGCTGTATATTGATGACGTCTTGCTACGTAAGCATTTCTTGGTGCTGATAGCCCCGTGTCTGTAATAATTCCTTTTTCAAGGCCGATAATGATTTGATAATCATAAAAATATATATTTTTTTTTCCTCCTAAAATTTTAGAGTTTTTTTTTTTTTTTAAAATAACTTTTCTAATGTTATTCACCATCATCTCAGATAGTCCAAACGAGGGAAAGTCGGAAGAATGGGGATGTGGCAGAAGGAGTT